GTGGGTGTGGGTGTGGGTGTGGATGTGGGTGTGGGTGTGGGTGTGCGTGTGGGTGGGTGTGGGTGTGAATGTCGGTGTGTGGGTGTGGAGTGTGGGGTGTGGGTGTGGGTGCGGGTGTGAGTGTCGGTGTGTCGGTGTGGGTGTGGGTGTGTGGGTGTAAGTGTCGGTGTGGGTGTGGATGTGAGAGTGTGTGGGTGTAGGTCGGGTGTGGGTGTGGGGTATGGATGTGGATGTGTGGATGTGGCTGTAACGCCTCTCTCTGGCACACCCACACCCACACGCACACCCTCACCCACATCCAAAACCACACCCACACCCACACCCTACATACATTGACAAAATAAAACGCTGGAAACACTGTTTTTAGCGTGGAATTGGCACTTTTAGAGTGTTGAAACGGTTAAAAAACTGCTTCTTTTAGCGTTCAAGCGCACTTTTTTCTAAAATTCAAAAACTATACGTTTGAGCGCTTAAAAGATCAGTTTTTTACCGTTTTAACGCTCTAAAAGTGCCAATTCCACGCCAAAACAGCGTTTCCGGCGTTTTATTTATCAACGTGTGTAGCTCACAGCCGCTATTCTCGAGTGGTAGGTGTAAATATGTGTTCTCAAATTTCTGTCTGCCTGGGTAGAGCCGCTCAGATTCAAACCGACGGATTCTACTTGCAATTCAATACTCACGATAAGGAAAGATTCACGGTAAGAAAATATTTTCTACAATTCGTAAAAAAGAAAGGTATCTATATCTATTCTGTTACTTACATTTCGAATTTTGTTCGATAACAATTTTTGAAATGAAAGAGTGTACCTGAATCTTGGTATTTTTATATTACTCTCACCGTCAAGAAAAAAACCCACGTGCTTATTGCAATTAGGAAGTATTACTTGTTCGTTGGAAATTTCTACTGATTCAAACAGTGGAAGAAAAATAACATTATGTTCTCTATTGCAATGGACGTATAAATAAACATTCCATTCTGCTCCCTCAGTTTTTTTCTTGTTCTTTCTATGTAAATATTTCGCGAGTCGAAACATGGCTACAAACAATTTGTGGGTGTGGGTGTGGGTGTGGGTGGGTGTGTGGGTGTGGGTGGGTGTGTGGGTGTGGGTGGGTGTGTGGGTGTGGGGCGCGGTGGGTGTGGGTGTGGGTGTGGGGTGTGGGTGTGGGTGTGGGCGTGGATATTCAACTGTCCATCAATACCCACACACCCACACCCACACCCACACCCACACCCACACCCACACCCTAAATCGACTTAAGTGAGGCCGATTTTGTTTTGCACGAGCTCCTTGCAAATATACAAAAGATCCAACAAAATACGCATTGGTGCTTTGTTAAGAGAAACATATTTTTTTTTTTGTTTTACAAAAGTGAAAGAGTCCATAAATTAATATTACAAAAAACAACTCTTATATATTTCTAGCTGGCTCCATACTGATAATCAGTTCATCGGTCACTAGGAAAAGAGCAAAGGAGAGTAGATTAATTCATCCGATAAAAAAAGTAATAATCAATAAATTCCTCGAAACATTACTAGTTTTGCCGATTATGTTCGAAGAAAATTATGAAATTTGAAACATTTCAAATTACGAGTACTTAATCATTCTGTCATCTTCTTCATCAAAATGCGACGATGTGCTAACAAAAATTGCACCAATACTCAATATTTTCAAAAGTTAGAATTCAACAAGAGTCATCCGAGAACTGAAAAAAAAGATTTCACTTACAACTCATTGGTATGAGGGCAACAACATGAATAACGTATGGATCTCGGAAAAGTTTAATTATCACTTAACTCTTCTCGATTCTACTGTTTAAAAAATCTCCACAGTTCTCTTACTTGGAATTTTCGAAGGTAATGGTGGGCAACGTTCAGAAGAGGCACGATGGATGGGATAACAAACAGGAACATTGCACCGTGTATTATTAACACACACAGTATTGAGCACGGAATATGTCTTATTATCGTTTTCACATGGAAGTAAATCTTTGCATGATACAACTGTATCAGCACACATTCCTCCACCGGTCATTGTCATCCATAAACATTCACAATCCGAATTTGTTGAACATGGCACATCTTTTGCTTCACAGTATGGCGATGGACAGCATCCACATGTACGAGGTTGTGTACTGTTCACATCCTGACCTGTAATGAAATTCATAAATAAAATCATCGATTTAATTGAGAAACATCTTTCGACATCAATATTGTATGAAACCAAGCAAAAAATAGATATAATGTAAATTTTATGAGCTCAAAGCAGAGTGACATCTAGATTGGTGAATAGAATAAATTTCTCGTACTTGTTACAATGCAGACAATATATCTAAAAACCAAAGTACATCATTTCATATATTTATCATGATAAAATTACTTACAGTGCCGACATTAATCGAATCAAAAAGTGTTGCAACATCGTGTAGAGAGAAATGTCTTTCGATTAAGATAGTTGCTGTTTTTATAGGTAAAGAGAGTTCTTCAACATATTTACTTGTATGAGTCTGGAATGGCGTTGTTACGAGTCTCGATCATGATTATTCGCACACACTGATTCGCGGATTCCAGTAATAAATATTTTATCAATGTTGCAATATATGACATCACTTCCATAGAAAATAGCGCAGTTTTTTTTTTCATTATAACAAATACCTAGATGCATTTGAAAAATGTAAATGGTAACTGTTAACATACATTTGTAAAGAATTTCATGATTGTCCTGTGCTCACAAAATCTGAAAAAATTTTTATCATAAGATTTTAAGCCAAATGAACACGAAATAAAATAGTTTTTAGATAATCAACGAGCGAGTAGACATCGTAGAAATTAAAAATAAACTTTTATCATGTTTTGGTATTAAATTTTCACTGAGAACGCAAAGACTTTTGGATTTATAATCGATGGATAACTGTAAAACAAGATGATCATCAAGTCTAACATTGTTCGCACTCTCCACGGATATATATCCAAGAGTATTATATATTGAAATCAGTACATAGAGTAGATCACTTAAGTCAATTTGTAGAATAATTTTGAAAGATCAATAACTGATATTGTGCCATTATGTAATTGTTAACAACTTAGCAGATGACTAAATTGGGCGTAAAATTTCCCGTAAAAATACTAGGATCTACGAGCTTCTTCGTCGAAGAATACTGTGTCATCTTGATGGAGAAAATAAAAGATCTACAGCGAGTGGATATTAATGATAAAACTAATATAGTTGTATAAAATTTAACCTTTTGGATCTCTGTTAGCAATGTGTGGAAATGATATTGAATCGTTATGAAGCATGAGAATTAGTTCTATTACAATAAGTTCATCTCATAGAGTATGAGATTCACTGATATTCTCTCGTGTGCTGCTATCTATGAATTTCAACTAGCTAAGTAATGAATTTCTTTGACCACTTTTTAATTACATACCAAACATTAAGTATAAATGAAGATTACTATTGATTGATGTAGGCTAAAATAGGTACATGATAATGACAAGATTTTGTTAGATTACATTCAGTCGATGAGGATTGAATTCAATGTCAAATTATTCTGGTCGCTTCAATCAAAAGCTTCATGGGGTGTGGGTGTGGGGTGTGGGTGTGGGTGTTGGTGTGGGTGTGGGTGGGTGGGTGTGTGGGTGTGGGTGTGGGTGGGTGTGGGTGTGCATTAAAGTAACATCTACACCCACACCCACACTTTGAAGAAAACAAATCAAAAGTGTGCTGCTTCTATCCACTATTAAAAGGAATGCAAGGCAAAACGAAGACTTTTCAAGTATTCATTTCCAACTATGGTGGGTCGGCTAGTAAAAGAACGATTAATTTAATATTTATATATAAAATAATCGTTATTGCAGCAGCTCAAATCAAGAATGTTGAACCATGAGAGTACGACGAAACAAGCATTTGTGTAGGGTAAATTTTTGCCATCTCTAAGCCGTTGCTTGAATACGATAAATCTGATTTGTATTCTACTTCTCTAATATCTTTGTTTTGTAGAGCATACAGAAATAAACTATTTTCACTATGCTTAGATAGACACATATACGACAGAGACAACGTTTCGAATGATGAAGACAGAAGGCGCATTTTAAATGTATTTTGTAGCATTAGTACTGACAACTATTTAGTTATACACTCATGCGTGTAAGGCTCTTGTCTACGTTGCATATCCACATTAAATCAAAAGAACTTATTCTTCATGCCGCGCTCGCTGTTGAGAAAGGTTCAACAGAAGTTATTGAACATGTTCCATAGACTAAATCTTTGATCACAATATACATCTACATGCATATCGAAATAGATTTCACTTATACAAAACTATGACTATTATTTTCGTATCCATTCCGTTTATAATCGAAATTTGAATCATTCACACTCACCAAAACTTGTCTGTCATTCTTTTAACTGTGAATACCGGAAATAGAATCTTAATTAATTCAGTCTCTTTTGTAGTAAGGCGTCCCAACTATTGGTTATGGTTGATCTTATAATCTTCTAGTTCTTAACAAAACTCAACCATCATGAACATATTATAATCATTATTTCGCATTTTCTACAGAAAGTAAAAGAAAAACTAAATATGTTGCATTGAATGACTTTCGAACACTTTTGTTCTCGAAAGTCGATATTTCTATAACTCTATAATTTTGACTTCTATCCAAGAAGATAAAAATTTTCAAAAACGAGTTTAAACGCATGAAAACGTGCCAAAAAAAATTAAAAAAGTGGATGTATTTAGCGCACAATCGCAGTTCCCTACTGTGGGCGAAGAAAATCCATGTTTTTCACTTTTTATGCGTTTTCAGCCAAAAAATGATTGTAAAAGCATATAAACGCATAAAACGGACATCAAAAATACTCGTTTTTTTCATACTCGACAATCGCAGTCATAATTTTGATAACAGTTAACGAAAAAGAAAATGACGACTACTTTTTGTTTTTTTTGTTCTTTTTATGCGTTTCAACGCTATTACAATCGTTTTTTGGTTGAAAACGCGTGTAAACGCACAAAAAGTGAAGGAAATGGGTGTTTTTTGCTCAAAGTCGAGAACCGCGATTGTGAGCTAAAAACATTCACTTTGTGATTGTTTTTTACACGTTCTCATGCGTTTAAACACGTTTTTGAAAATATTTGCCTGCTTGATTAAGGACCAGTCATCCTATTCCGGAAACTACATCATCATTCAGTATAAGAGATCTACTCGACACCGACCGAGCTCCACCAATTCCCGGAATACTAGGAACAGAGTTCACACAGAATTACTTGCAATTCCAGAAGAGACCCCGCCGGATAAGATCGTAAATCTGCCATCCATCTATGTTTCACTTTTCATAAGTTAGAAAGATAGTGCATGAAATTCTGGACATTCCTGTGTATTTATTTATTTTTTGTTCAATGGAAAAAAATTTTCAAAGAGAAAAAGTCTTGGAGGTAAATCCTTTTGGGTGTTTCAAACAATAAGTATGATATCCATAATATTTTCTTTTGTAAATCTAATTCGAGAACTAATAGTGTAGATCAATGTAATTTTTCATCCTCTACAAAATGATATATTGATCATGTTTACTGAAATTTGTTTTTTAGATTATGCAGAGCCAAGCAGATACGAATCTTATATTAAATAGACAACTTTGGTGGAGTGTTATTGCATTCAAGAATCAAATGGGACAAAAATGTCACTATGATAAAAAAACTCTTGCGGTTGACACTCTATCAATCTATGGGGTTTTCAGAAAAACTAAAGCAGTCTCAAGGTTCATTTTCATTGAAACTTTGCAAAAAAAAGTCACCATTTTAAGATATTATACAGTCAACAGTGATTGGATACTCAGTATTTTACTGAGTATTTTTGATACTTTTACTGAGTATTCAGGATTACTTGAGTACATTCTAACAGTATCAGTAAATTTACTTGTACTGAAAGATTTTACTGAAGTACAAAACTTTGTACTCATTTACTGAAGTACCAGTATTTAAGTACAAAATGTACTTTAGCCGGATATCAACATATTCTAATATATTACTACTTTGCATTCTCAGAAATGTCTACATAATATTCATAATATTTAAACCTACACACTATAAATTCATGTCTTTTGAATTTTCCTTGGTTATCAATGTTGATCATTTATGCCGAGGCTGTTTTATGACAATGGAGATAGAAATATCGTGATAATGATTATTCATATACATTTTCCTTAATATGTCGCTAAGTTATAGACGTTAGGTGTGTATTACACATCCTAACATCGATATCAATGCGTTAAATGTACAGCTACGCTACATTATGGCTTTAAGTACTCTAATGTACTTAAATACTGTACTTGAGTACAATTCAGTACAGTACCGCTACTGACTGAAATTTACTCAAGTAAAAAGTATTTAAGTAAAGTACAAAGTACATTTTTTAAGTATCTTCAGTTTTACTGGTACTTGCTGTACTTGTACTCGTCCAATGACTGACAGTCAACGTAAAGCTCGAATCCTATTGTAATTTCAACTTCAGAGAAACACGAATATCATATTCGAAATAAGCACTAAAAACTACACTACATCATATAGTTTTTAGCTCAAATAACTTTTTCCGGAAATTCACACTGGAGGGGACCACAGCCAAATTCTAAAAAAGGAGGCTGAGTGGAACCACATCGATATTTTTGTAAAAAGTTATTTGAGCTAAAAACTATATGATGTAGTGTAGTTTTTAGTGCTTATTTCGAATATGATATTCGTGGGTGTGGGGTGTGGGTGTGGTGTGGGTGTGGGGTGTGGGTGTGGGTGTGGGTGTGGGTGTTGGGTGTGGGTGTGGGGTGTGGGTGTGGTGTGGGTGTGTGGTGTGGGTGTGGGGTGTGGGTGTGGGTGT